AGACCTCATGGACATGGAGGCCTCAACAGGTCAACCAACACCTTCATGGTTGGAAAAACCAAGTAAAGCACCTACTTCCTCCTCACCATTATGGTATTATACAGTCAGCTGTGATTTAAGGAGGAAGCTAACATTTTAAAAGAAGCCAACTGGAAAGGCAGCGGCCAGCCGCTAAGAGAGAAGGAACATTATAATGGACAGGGAAGAGGAAGGATGAGTTAATCCCCCGGGGGGAAGGGATTTAATAATCTATTGGTAGAATGAGGAAGGTGATTAATATTTGTGACTACACAACAAATCATGTCACTGAGTACCATCACAATCCAAGGCTGGCCAGAGAGGAGCTGACATGGGGGTGGAAGGGGGGCACAGGAAGGAGTCCCATCCAAAGGGCATCATTATTGCCTATGGTTGTAGGCCTGGGGATGGGTACGCTCTCCTCCCTTCTGTATCCTCCCGTATACCCTAATAGATTGTAAGCTCTTCTATCTTCTGTATCCTCCCTCATACCCTAATAGATTGTAAGCTCTTCTACCTTCTGTATTCTCCCTTATCCCCTAGTAGATTGTAAGCTCTCCTCCCTTCTGTATCCTCCTGTATACCCTAATAGATTGTAAGCTCTTCTACCTTCTGTATCCTCCCTTATACCCTAATAGAGTGTAAGCTCTTCTACCTTCTGTATCCTCCCTCATACCCTAATAGATTGTAAGCTCTTCTATCTTCTGTATTCTCCCTCATACCCTAATAGATTGTAAGCTCTTCTACCTTCTGTATCCTCCCATATACCCTGATAGATTGTAAGCTCTCCTCCCTTCTGTATCCTCCCTTATATCCTAATAGATTGTAAGCTCTTCTACCTTCTGTATCCTCCCGTATACCCTAATAGAGTGTAAGCTCTTCTACCTTCTGTATCCTCCCTTATCCCCTAATAGAGTGTAAGCTCTTCTACCTTCTGTATCTTCCCGTATACCCTAATAGATTGTAAGCTCTTCTACCTTCTGTATCCTCCCTTATATCCTAATAGATTGTAAGCTCTTCTGTCCTCCCTTATGCTCTCAAAAAATTGTAAGCTCTTCCACGTTCTCTCTCTTCCTTCTGATTAGATTGTAAGCTCTTCTGCACTGCCCCTATATACCCCTGTAGACTGTCATATTTGTGGGTATGTTCAGTGCCAGGACCCCCAATCTCGGCTCTCAAGCTTGAATCTTTGGCTCGGACACACACAGGCCCAGCGATTGATATCTTGCCCTTCTCTCTGGCACAGCATGGAAATGGAGAGAGCGCTTTGCCTGCCAAGTCCGGCCCGAAGTTTGGGGACTCAGCACAAACGTTCCCGCTCTCCGGTAACTCAGAACTTCGCATGGCGGAAGCAAAGTAGCAAGCCACAGATAAAAGGGACAAACCTGCATCCCAATACTGTCAATCCGAGATGACTGCCCCTGGTTTCCTATGGGAGAGAGAAATGTGTCATTGCTTTTCATCAACCTCAACTACAGTATATCTGCTCATGGTTGTTGTATTGTATGTACATTGCTCATGCGTGTTCCTTTCAGGTCAGCCAGGAGGAGCTCCTGAGGATCCTGAGGAAAGTGAAAGACAAAGAGATAGGCATTGAAGAAGCCCTCTCATTGGCTAATGACAACAAGGTCAGTAAATGGTTTGAAGGAGATTATCAGCACATCAGAGGCTGTTTGGCTTCTGACTGTCTCTCTCCGATTGACCCTTCATAGGATCTGTCTTCACAAAGTGGGAGGGGGAGGAGGCAATTCTATGATCATGTTAAGGTGACACCTCCTGGCAGGTAAAACGGGCTCACCAAAGGCACAGAGTCTAAGCACCATTTGGTCTTCGCCAGAGCTCCTGATGGTGGAGATGGGTTTAGCTGCTTGGTGGTACCAGGTCACGGCCCCCAGGATCACCCTGCCTAGGGATGGACAGGGACAGGAGGGCTCGAATGCGGAGACAGAAGTCCGGAGCATAGTCAGGACAAGGCAAAAGGTTCCAAACCAGATAATGGTTGGACAGTCTGGGTCTGCAGCCAGCAGTCAGGAGATAAAAATGTAGTCAGAACCAGGCAGGGGTCGAGGCAGGCGGCTAGCAGAGACTGGCCGAGCAGTGTAAGGTCGGCAACGAGCAGTCAGTAGATAAGGCCGGAGACGAGAGTTAAGTTGAGTGCAGGCAGAGGATCAGCGCGGGCGGCAAGCAGAGTATGGTAAGACGGTCCTGGTCAGCCCACAATAGTAGTATTGAAGCTCTTGAACACTCAGGGAACTGGGTTGAAGACACAGCACCAGCCTCTTGCTGACCTGGTGCCTTAGTACCCCTCTGAATCAGAGGTGACGTGACCAGCATCACCTCAGGGCACTCCGGATGTCCCGCTCAAGAATCTGTGGCTATCATTAACCATAATTGGCCTGGATTCTGTGAGAGCCATTAGAAGTAATGGAAGAGCTCCTATGAGTACCATTAGAGCTACTGGTGGGTCTACTGGAAGTCCTGGCTGGAGATCTGTAAAACCCGGCAGTAGCATAACAGATCATTTGTTCGAGTGTGTACATTTCAGCTTGCGCTACTGAGCTGTGTAGACAAATGGCTTTTTTTCAACACAGCAGCTAAGAACAGACAGGTAGACATGAAAAGGCGACTGGGGCTCCACCTGCTGGCGGCATAAGAAATTGCAGAATTTTCCTATTCAATGTTTCTTATGTATCTGATTAAGTCCCGCCCGTAAGGAGAAAATATATGCAAACCTTCTATACACTCCTTTTAATTAAAGCGGGGTGTCTAACAAGTCTGCCGTGATTTCCGCAGTCACATGACCTGCCGCGCCGCGCGCCCTAGCTTGCCGTTATCGTACATGATCACAGCCATGAACACACAGTAATGTGAAACTCGCCCTGCGTACGGCAGACGCATTTCACACACACAATCTCATCCATCTCCTTGTCTTCACCGGCATACAAAATATCAGACGCAGCGGCTGGCCGAGATAAATCACCGCGCACAGCCAGCCTTGTCCGGGCCAAGAGGTGACGCGAATATCTGAGAAAAACGACTGCGGTGAAAATCCATCTTCGGCAGCGATAACGGCGCGCCACCCGAGCGACCTTTATTATCGTAATCTTCTGCTGAGATTTGCCGGCTGGTGAAAGGTTATCGGCCGTCAAATCCCAAATAACTTTCACATAACAGAGGAAAAAATTCAAAGGAAAGGAATGTGTCGCCCGGAGCTTCCGCCGACGCCATTTTGTAACATGATTGAACGCTACCTTCCCCTTTCTTGTCTGCGGGTGGTTTGCTTTCAGTACCCCTGCTCTTGTAACTGATGGCTATCCCCCCCGGGAAAGTCAGTGCAGAGCTTGGGTATAAATTGGAAGACTTCTAGAGGAAGACATTGCAGGGGATGTCTGCAATTTAATCTCAAGATCTGTGCCGACTTTTTGGAGAAGAGTCATGAACCAATCACAAGAGCAGAGGAGTAGAAAAATCAGGAACCTGTCATTTCGGGCACTTAACCCTATTCCCCGTAGGGTTCTGCAAGAGAACCCTACGGGGAATATGCTGGAGGAGCACGATGCCTCTTATTACAGCACTGGGACTGATCACGTGATCAGGCAGACGGACTCTCTCACCTAGCACTCGCTTTCAGCATGTTATGTCCATCCAAAATAGGCAAGGTGCTGAAATAAAGTTTGCCAAATTCATTATTGTTTATACAGCTACCGTGAGCGGGATTTGTTTCCCAACCGAACCAGGATATCACTTTAAAGGGCAACTCCAGCCAAGGGGACAACATTTTTTCGGATGGAGTTACACTTTAAAGAGGAGCTCAGCAGATCCCACCCCCCAAAGGATGGGACATTCTAGTGTTAAAGTGAACTATTAAACAGGTCCCCAGTTCAGTCCAGTATCCACCATTCCCAATCTAAAGATGTAGAAGTGCTCCCTCTAGTGGTCATCTGTATAATGCCGGAAATGTGATCAGCATTGCAACCTAACTCCTTTCCCCTTACAGGGCGCCCGCTATTTTCAGATCAGTCAGACCCGACCCATAGACTTGCATTGAAAAGAAGGAACAGTTAAGGGTAATCATAATACAGAAATGCTAATCAGGAAGCAGCGCCTACATATGTAAGATGAGGAAAAAGGACATTTGACAGTGATCATTGCCAACCACCGAACAAAGAAAAAAAACTGTCTATGTTTTTATTGATGTGCATTTGATTATTCATTGATTTGCAATGTTATCAACATTCATTGGTTATGAAAGTTGATAACACTAATGTTGCTCTGTTTCCAATATCACATCATTACATTTATTTTTTGCCGTGCAAGTACTGAATTTCCCTTGCCTCTGTACAGCAAAGCTCAGACTAGGCGAGGGAAGAAGCAGCAGACAGAGTCAATCAGTTGTGCTGCAGGGCTGATAAACTAGGAAGAAGCATGCTGATAGAAGAAAAGAGCAGAGCGACATGGGGATGAGCTCATCAGCCTGCTGCTCTTTTCACTATCCAATCACAGCCTGGGGGAAGGACAAGACCTGCAAATGTTACTTGACTGCAGCGGAGAGAAATCAGGTCTCCCGTACTTCCAGAAAGGGCGTGTCTCTCTCTCTCCTCTCCCTCCTTCTCCCTCGCTCTCTTTCTCCCTCGCTCTCTCCTTCTCCTCTCTCCCGTTCTCTCTCTTCCCCTCTCTCCCCCTCCCCACCCCTCTCTCTCCCCACAATACATCATTGTACTGTATCTATCTATCTATCTATCTATCTATCTATCTATCTACACATGGAGGAATCTGAATCTCCTTTAAAGAACAGAGGTGACCAATTGTCCAAGTTTTCGGGTGATTTTAGGGTTTGAGGCTTTGGGCTCTTTAGTAAAATGAATGAAAACTGATGTGCGGTGCTGTAGGATTGTACGTGCCAGCCACTGACCTCTCTCCGTCTCCTCCATTCGCGCTCGTGTGTCTCCGAGCAGCTAATTTAAGAGTTTCAGAACGGGGTGATGGCGGAGACGAGACCTGGCTGCGCTTCCATTCATAAAGTATTCATCAGACCCCCCCACCCCCTGGTAGTGTGCTGTGTAAGGAGAACCGACGCTTCCAGCCTGTCAACCCGTCTCATTCTATCCCCAGGACCCGGCCGATCGCAAACCGCCGGCGCTGCACAACTTCACCATCTACAAGTACAGGTACAGGTGGCAGAAGAGGATCTTGCAGGTAACTTCTCAGACTTTACCGGGCGCTTTGGTTACTTCATACCCCCACACACACACACACACGCACACGCACACGCACACACACCATCTGATAAAAGATAAAAAATTAAAACCCTATAAATTATAGACCTGCTTTCCAGAGGCGGCGGGCCAAGAGCACCGGTCACAAGGCAAACTATGACCGGCTAGCCCTTCTCATGCAGAGGCCGGTTAAAGGATATGTAATGCCAATAACAAAAATGTAACCCCAATAGTTAAAGGAAGAGCAAAAATGTATTTGTTATACCTTAGCAGTCCTTAGGTGTGGCGGCTGCCTTAGTTTTCCTTTTTTTTTCAGGCTTATTTCCCTTTATTTTCACCTGGTGATCCTGCCGGTAACACATTTCCTGTCTGAGGGTGACAATGCTCACTCTATGGCGGAGCAGTGTTGTCACCCTATAAAAGATAGAAATGATTGTATGAAGGAATTACAGTATCTCCTCTTGCCTTTTAATTAGGATTTAGATTTCCCTTTTACCCAATGTTCCTTTCATGTTAACCCCTAAATAGCCAACTGTTTAACTGAAGCAATACTTGGAATTTCTATTATTTTCATTCATTTCATTGTTCATTGTTATTTTTGTGTTAATAGTTAACTGCTTCCCATTTAACTCATCCCCACTTCTTAAAAATGTATACAGGTTACAATGTGGAATCTGTTCACTGAATGAGGAACGCTCTAAATCTGGGTTGATCAACTCTGGCCCTACAGCTGTTATGTACAACCTGTATACTGACTGAGGAACCCTCATGGTCAAATCCGGCCCTCCAGCTGTTATATACCACCTGTTCACTGACTGAGGAACCCTCTAAGTCAGGGGTAGGCAACTCTGGCCCTCCAGCTGTTATCTACAACCTGTTCATTGACTGAGGAACCCTCTAGGTCAACTCCGGCCCTCCAGCTGTTGTGCACAACCTGTATACTGACTGAGGAACCCTCTAGGTCAGTGGTGGGCAACTTCGGCCCTCCAGCTGTTGTAGAGCTACAAATCCAATAAGGCATGGCAAGACTGACAGTTACAGGCATGACTCCCAGAGGCAGAGGCGTGTTGGGTTTTTGTAGTTAAAGCACAGCTGGAGCGCTGGAGTTGCCCGCCCCTGCTCTAAGTACAGTAACGCCTTTGGATGCTCACCCTTCCACTGACATGCCCAGCCTCAGAAGAGAAGCAATGCATGTTTAGCTCTTCCCACATAGCAGAGGATTCAGAAAATGTGTATAAACAAAATGGAACAAGGAGTCTACATCATAAAAGTTTTTGTAAAATAAGAGGAATGGCTAAAAAAAAGTGAGCATATGGAGGCATCTATGATTTGTATAGGCATAGCTCATGAGAAGGTGGAACATTCTTGTACATTTCCCATCCCGTGTTTCAGATCGATTTCTACAACCAGGCCATATTCAACATCGAGAAGGGCAACCTCAAGAAGCAGTTCCCATTTACGCAGGTGAAGTCCTGCATGGACCAGGAGGGCCTGAGGTTCATCATTGAGTTCCATGGCCACCAAAACTATGAGCTTGAAGCTGCCAGCGCAGAGGACAAACAGAAGGTGAGCAGAGGACTTGGGCCAACGGATGTTTAGAAGGACCTAAAAGGTGGCTTGATGACTCCATGTCCTTCAGTTTGCATTGGTTAGACACAAGCTTATCTCTCCTGTGCTCTAGATGTGAATATCATCAAAACAATTCTGGGGGATACATGATAAGGTTACAAAGGAAACTGTAGGAGGACTCTGACCTCCCAAAATTGTACACAAGTCAACACCTTTAGGTAGCAGCTTGCATGTTTAGGTGACCTTTAATGAGCTCCAAGATCCATAAAACCAAAAGGTAAAAATAGTGATCGCAGATTCCTGGTTGTGATTGGCATCCACCTCCTTCCAACATCCATATATTCTTGTTGGTAGTGTTGTTGTACTGGTTGGCCAAAAGGAAGATGTGGTGGCTACTTGTCATGTGGGATTAAGAGATATCAGAACATTTAATGACCATCAAAGGATGGGAGGAGACTTCTAATGGTAAGGATCGGCAGACTCCCACAAGTGTTAAGGGGTGCTTAACCAATAATGCATATCTTCAGAGGTGATGTTAGGCATTGGGGGCTTTCGTGTGTGAGTGGGGGGTGGGAATTAAGGGGTTGGGTAGGGGTAAAACTGAATGCTAAGGTTTGAGTAGAGGAATGGTTAAGTGTTAGGTTTTGTGTGGAAGGAGAAGTAAATGCTATAGCTTGAGTAGGATGAAGTGTTAGGTTGTAAGTAGGGGAGGATTGAGTGTTAAAGTTTAAGTATGGGCAGGGTTAGGTGTTAGGATTTCAGTAGGGGCGGACTAGCTGTTATGGTTTGAGTAGTGGGGGGGATTAAGTGTTAGGGTTTTGGTTAGGGGTGGGATAAGGGTGGGATAGGATCAAGTGTTAGGGTTTGACTAGGGGGAAGGATCAAGTGTTAGGGTTTGACTAGGGGGAACGATCAAGTGTTAGGGTTTGACTAGGGATGGGGTAAGTCTTAGGGTTTGACTACGGGGTAGGATCGAGTGTTAGGGCTTGACTACAGGATAGGATCGAGTGTTAGGGCTTAACTAGGACTAGGGATGGAATAAGTGTTGGGGTTTGACTACGGGGTAGGATCGAGTCTTAGGGCTTGACTGTGGGATAGGATCAACTGTTAGGGCTTGACTATGGGATAGGATCGACTGTTAGGGTTTAAGTAGATAGGAGGATTAAGTGTTAGGGTTTGATTAGGGGTGGGATAAGCGTAAGGGTTTGACTAGGGGGCAGGATTGAGTGTTAAGATTTGTGCAGGGGAGTTAAGTGTTAGGGTGTACTTCACAGTTAAGGATATGTTAGAATTTATGGACACTTAGGTGAATTTTGCTTCTTTTGATAGCACTGTGCCTGCACACTGAAACACTAGCTTTAGTATTGAGCTTCCATCCCCGAACACTAACATGCTGAATTTAGGAGCTCATGTCCTACCAAAGCTTCCTGGCTTGCTCTTTGTTGTTGTTGGCTTTGCATGGTCAATTTACAACACAATGGAAGGCAGGAACACATATTTGTGCAGTTGTTAGGCACTTTGTTGGCATGTAAGGCGTGTAAATACGGCAAACCAGAGGTCTACCAGTATCTGTCCATATATGAAATATGAATTTTGCATGGACTGGTCCTTTAACTGGTTGATTTTGCTGCCTCTGAATGAAGCATGACATGTTCTCTTTGGTTTCAGATCCTCAGGATTATGAGTGAGATTCTCCAAGAGCAGAGGGATGGCCAGGCGTCAATCATCAAGTCATTTATCAAGAAGAACGAATATTCAGATGTCATCCTTGATGGATTGTTGGAGCTCTACGATGAACCAACTGGCAGATGGGTGAAGTATGAACAACATATTCATTCTAATGTGCGCATAGAGCCCCAGAACTGTCACCTAAAAGGCCACCCCACTCAAAAATGACATATAAGTTATACATGGAGTCTGGTGAGCCTCATATGACTTGAGGGACTCTGGTAATGATAATTCTTCTGTATAGTTTACAGCATTGTTTTGCCTCCAGCCATTCTCCGTCTTCTAGTTGTATTCTGCATTTTATAATAATCCAAAAAATCCAGCAAGTGGATTATCTCTGGCAGATAAGAGGCTTTCTGAACCAAAACTAAACCTGTGTTACACTGACTGTGAGCTCCCCGCTATCTCGCTTCTATCCTTGTCACATCACAAAATGGCTGGCTGCCATCAGCTAGGAGGCTGCAACAATTCCTGGGGGTATTGGGAGCCCATTTAATGACACAGAGCATGCTCGCTGTGTTTTAGGTACCCTGACCTTTCATGAATCTTAAAATGATTTACACATCTCCAATAAAAAACATAAAAGGCCGATACTGTAATAGGTTTCGCTAAGTGAGGAGAGGGAGAAAAGGAAAAAAAAGAAACAAGAAAGGGAAGGGAAGGGGAAAAGAACATTTAAAAAAAAAGGTGAGGGAAGGGGAAAGAGAAAGGAAAAGGAAAGGAGAAACAAAAGCAAAAGGGAAAAGGACAGCAAAGGTAAAAGGAAAGATAAATGAAAGGGGAAGGGAAAGGGAAGAGGAAAATAAAGGAAAGGAAGAGACAAGGAAGGGAAAGGTGAGAAAAGGAAAAGAGGAAAAGGAAGGGGAGAAAAGGAAAGAAGACAATAAAGACACTGAAAGGAAAGAGAAAAGAACAGGAAAGAGAAAGAAATGGAAGGGAAGGAAAAAACAGAAAGGGAAATTTAAGAGAAAAGTGGAAAGGAGAGGAAAGGAAAAAAGAAAAAGGAAGTGAAATGAAAAGAAAGAGCAAAAGAAAGGATAGAGGAAAAATGAAGGAGGAAAAAAGTTAAAAGGAAAGGAGAAAATAAGGAAGGGAAAGAAAGGAAGGAAAAGAAAGGAAAGGGAAAAGGAAAGGGAAAGGAAAGAGAAAAGAAATGGAAAAGAAAGAAAGGAAAGGAAAGAGGAAATGAGAAAAGGAAAGAGGAAAGGAAAAGAAAGGGGAGAGGAAAGAGGAAAAAGGAAAGGAAATGAAAAGAAAAGGGAAGGGAAAGAAAAGAGGAAAGAAGTAAAAAGGAAAAGGGAAAACAAATGAAATGAAGGTTAAGAAGAGAAAAAAGGGAAGGAAATAGATAGAAAAAGTAACAGAACAGCAATGGAAAGTTAAGGAAAAACAAAGAAAAGGAAGTATAGAGGAAGTCTATAAGAAATGAGAAAAAGTAACAATGTTTTTCCCCTGGGGGTGAGGCTTGTGTGAGCTGGAAGAGCTTCAATCCGGAGTTCTCACTATCCGGTCCGAATGCTTATTTGGAATTTAAAAGGCAGCAGTCAAACCTACCAGGAAGCTGAAGTAAGATACACAAATGGTAATATCACAGGGAAACATATATTTCCTTCTATAAATGTAATTTCAAGTTTCCGCACGCGGTGTTGTGCGATCTCATCCCGTCACTTCCAGTTTAGGTTGGCTGGACATTGATGATGCGTAATTACCGATGGGAAAACGAGTTCTGATTACGGCTCGGGGGACAAATCTCATCCTTAGAATGAAAACAGCGGCATAAAATATTCATCAAGTTTTTGTTTCTCTGGGCGAAGAAACGGTCTGTGAATTAATGACTTTACAAAATCCCCACCAAAACCTGCACATGTGACATTTATCACTCAATTAACAACAGCGGAGATGGTGTAGACTAATTAAACATGCAGGGCCGGGATTATGACCTTGTGGTTCCCAGCACAAAAAAACCCCTTTCATTTTGGTCTCCCTAATGGACAGTAGAAGTAGAAATAATTAAAACCGCTTCTAATTGTTCCCCGTAGACAGTGCATGGAATTATCTCATCATATTGTACATCCGAGAATTTCCAGAGCAGAGCGTGGTTAGAGGAAGAATAGCATATGTAATGAGGCAACGAGAATCCTAATTGAACGATTACGTTTTGTTTTTTTTCGGCCCGTTGTCATGCAGTGCACAAAGCTGCGGAATTCAGGGATCAATAAAGTTCTGACATTCTAGAAACAACTTCATTTTAAAAGCAAAAAGGAAAAAATAAAAAACAGCCTTTCAACTACTGCAAAAATGTGCTCATAAAGAAAAAAACAAGACATAGACAATAAAACATGACCATGTACTGAAAACCAATGACATCACTGAGAATGCAGCCTATCAATTCACTAGAGACCGGTGACATCACTGAGAATGCAGCCTATCCATTCACTAGAGACCGGTGACATCACTGAGAATGCAGCCTATCCATTCACTAGAGACCGGTGACATCACTGAGAATGCAGCCTATCCATTCACTAGAGACTGGTGACACCGCTGAGAATGTAGCTAGACACCGGTCACATTATTCACTATAGAAATGGTTATAGAAAATCCTACATTTACAGAAATGTTGCTGGAAAATTCTGTTATGACTTGAAGCTTGAGGGCATCACATTTTTTTGCAATATCTAATCCCTTTCCAAGCATTTTATCCAATAACGGGGATCCTTGCAATATAAAAACATCTTATATCTTGTGTATGTTCCTGATGCTGGAACATTCTGTTCATCTTTAGCCTGTAAGCCCCGACAGTCACGGCTCTCCAATGTTATTACAGTGACGGCATCAATAGCCGCATATAAAACACCGCAGCGGCTTCTCAAAGGTTCCCTTTTATCTGTGAGCAAAGCCGGAATATTTATAGAAAATCAGTTTCCATCCCCACTGACTTAACAGCTCAATCTTCTCCCCTGTCAGCACATTCGCTGTAAAAGTTGCATAATAAATAATTATGACAAGCAAATCACGGAAAATTCTTATACGCCTTCCGTGTCTCAAGTCAAAGCGAAGAGCAGAATGCTAGAACAGCCAATCGCTAATCATCACGCACTGCGGTCAACTAAAATATGATTGGCTGCCAGCTGGGATGAGTGGAAGGATATTGGCAAGACTTTGCCTCCAGTGTCACTATACTGTCTGCCTATTTGCTTAAAAAAATGCTTTCCAAAATCACCTTAAAGGAGAACTATGGGGTCAGGGCTTTTCCCCATAGTTCTCTTTAGGTAACGGGAGGACACAAAACCTTTGCCTTGCCCATTGACTGCAAGGCGTTGCACCAAAATGAAAAGGAAAAAAATTGACCAAAATTGCGTGAATTTCTAGAGAAGTGAATACGGTCCATTTCACTCATCCCTAGTTGCATTTCGTACCTTATAACTAATTTCAAATATGTCCCCA